GAATCTACAATGGATTAGTACAGCATCTCAATATATTATTTATCCCGGAAAACCTTATCAGGTGATATCTGAAGAAAGCATGACAGAAAACTATAGATACCTGGGAGCAGATTGGAGCTATCTGTCAGCATGATGCCCTCTGTCCCACTGTGCAGCTGGGCAGCTCGGGGGAAGGCACAGGCTGATTAATCCACAGCCTGGATGATCCCCTCACAGACATTCCCCTCTGAATCTACTGCTGCACCACAGCAGGCTTCTAGGAATTGTTCAAGTACAGGCCATTGCTCAAGTACTTGAGCAGTAAGAAACTGAGTATTTAAAAAATAAATTTGAATTAAATTAAAACAAGACAAAAGTAAGTTGGTGTTTTGGCTTTTATTTCTAGAATGAACTGTATTCTTGCCTGAAAGTATTTGGTAGGCTACAAACTTTGATTGTATTGAAGGGCTTCATGGTGAGAGAACTGCTACATTGCTGAATCCAAATGAGGAAAAATACATCCTCCATCACAAACAATATCCCAATCTTATTATTAGGTAGGGTTAATTTTGCTGTTTTGTTTTATCAATCTGCTGTTAATCATACCTCCAATATTAATATTTGCCCTTGTGGTAGCCAAAATAGGTAACAGAACTTTGATTTTTGCTGATAAAACAATTTTACATAGTAAATACCAAGAATTAAAGCAAATATATATTTTTTGACAATCCTGAATTTTCCTTTCAGAGTTGTAACTTCTAGCTAGCAATTCACTCTCTGAAAAAAAATCAAATAATGTTCTGTATTTGGCTGCAACTTTTGTGTAAGTGCAAGCAACAACTGCAGTATTTTTTTAAATGAGCCACAGTGATAGCTTTGCACTTCCTTGAGGCCTCTTCTCTTCTCACTGAATGAACTCCAGGGAATGGCATCATGTCGGGCTTTCCAGATGGATTATGTGAAGCCATAGCTCAATGTCATTTTCAATAGCAAGGCTCATAATTAAAGGTCAAATAGTCACTTCATCTGCAATCAATCAATAGAAGAAGTACTAATACTAAGTACTAATCAATCAATGGCAAATGCACTAATAAAAGCCATGCATCAAATGTCTGCATATGTGTGTGCTCACATGTACCATGCATATATGTGAGCAGGGGGAAGGAGAGAAAGGGAAAAATGTGGGGGTGAAAATGCCAGAGGCCATTGTAGATACTATATTTACCTTGGCTTCCTTGCAAATTTACATCCTGCTTCACTCTTAAGGTGAAATGCAAATAAACACTGGTTTTTCTGCATGTGTGATGCCCTTTATTCACAACCCTGCTGAAGCACCCACCTCTATGCAGAGGTACTGGCTCGTGCTCCCAGCTAAGGAACACAAAGGAACCTACCCTGTGTAATTTGTCCTTACACAAACACACCCTGCACTCTGATCTTTGAGACAAAAAGTGTGTCAACTGTTCTGTCTACAAAATAAGACCCAGCATATGGGAACAGCACTCATCTCCGTGCAGAGCAAGCACTTACTCATGGATGCAACAGTGGAAGTGGCAGTTGGCCTCATGAGCATGCACTGCATGGGAATTAGTTGGTTTCATAATATGGTGTGGGAGAAAGTGACTTACAAAAGTCTTCTCATGCCTTTCCTATTACCACTTCTAAAGCTTTAAAGCTGTCAGCTCTTCTCCCACTTTAGTTGGTGGCATTCTCAGCTCCCCAGGGAATGGGCCAGACATACCTATTTGGAGTTTCACCTGCCAAGCTGAGAGAAATCAGTTTCAAAGTGAAAGTACAAGTGTTGGGGGTCATTTATACACTACCACTGGAATCTTGAAGACAAACAAAGCAGAGCTCCACAACAGATGTGAAATGAGAGCGTGAGCTGCGTTTGTGCTTTCAGGCATTGCAGTGACAGAGGGAGAAGGAAAAGCTCTCTCTACCATAAGCGAGGAGATGATCTCTCATTGCATGGTTTGTAATAAACACCTAAGGACAAGCAGAAATGTGCCAGAACAGCAAAAGAGTAAAGGCCAAAATGCCTGTGTTTGTCTTGTTTCTGCTAAGACCAGGGTGGACAGGGAAAGATTTAAAAGTGCCATTCAGGAACAGCTAATCCTTTAAAACAAATTAGACCTACTCTGCTCCCACATTCAGTGAAGGAAAAAATGCTGCCTGCCCTGGTTAACAGATCTGTTTGCATCTTCAGCTCAGGCACATACCCCATCACACCCTGGCTTTGCAAAACCCAATACTCCTTATTTTCACACAGATTTGTTTTTACACAGCTCTACATTATCTGGAGCTGGTACAAACACCAAACAGAATAAAATATCAACAGTCTCAAACTCAGCCAGCTGGAATCTGATACACAGCAGGCACACCTGGACACCCATGGAGCAGGGGTGCACACAAGACCAGCAGGTACTTCAGGCTTACCAAGGACAGGCTCCCAGGGGACTGCCAAAAGGAACATTTCCCCATTCCTCTCCCAGGATGACTGGAAAGCAGTCTGCCCCAAAGCTGACAGACAGAACAGTGCACAGCTGAGAAACAGCCCCACAGTACCATGTTCTACTATCTACCTGTTCACTTCAACCTGCACACTTAGACATGGATATCTGGACTAGGGGGAAAAGGAATTTATGGCTGGGGGAAGCTGCAGGAGTCCTTGAAGTCAAGGTGGCCAAAGTATTTTTGCTGGTGTACTCGGGCAAAGAAAGCTGCAGAATGCAAAAGCTGGCTCATGAGGCTATGCTAATATGAGCAGTAACTTGGAATTGGGAAAATGTGAGCCAAAAGGTCAAGGGAGCTAGGAACCTCAAACTAAGTTTTTCTAAAAAAGAAAATAACATAAAAAATTGAGAGGGTAGTAGCAGAAGAAAAGTGAACTGACTCAGCTGTGTGCACAGCCAGGTCAAGACAGGCTGCATAAGGATGCTTGGTACAGTGAGTAAAAGAAAGGAACAGTCCTCATTTTTTGGGAGGGTGATGGCAAGCCCCTGTAGGACTTAAATATTTAAAAAGGCTTTGTGCTTATCTTCTTAGTGTCATGGCAAGCTGGCAGAAATATGCAAGAGAGCATATATAAAACTATTCTCTCTGGGGAGAGAAGGGGAAACTTGCATATTTGTGCTGTTAAACACGACCAGCTTCTCCAGCCTTTCTTCTGTAGTATCACAGTTGTGCCCTAAGTTCATACACACTTCCAAACAGAAAGCACAGCAGTGTGTTATGACTTATGTGTGCAGCTGCTTTCTACAAATACAAGAGTAACTGCCCTGAACATAAGCTCATTTATTAGTCCAAGCTCAGTTTCATAGCACATTTGGCTGGAAAAGACCAATGTCAGTTAATCTATGTTCTGCTCCAAGGCAGGATCAACTCCAGCTATTTAATTCCCATCTGAGGCTTGTCTACAATGATAGGAGATTGAAGACATCAATAGGCAACATATTCCAAAGCTGAACTGTTTTACACTAGACAGGTTTCCCTGATTGTTAGCTTAAATCATCATCACTGTAACAAAGTCCTTCCCTTTACAAAGTCCACTGTGACAGAGTTACTTTCTTCCTTTGCATCAACCTTTTATGCATTTGAAGATCACTGCAGTATTTCAGTTATCTTCCCTCAACAATCCCAACTGCCTCAATCTACCTCTGGGGTCACGTTTTTGAGGTCTGTGATCATTCATGGCACTCTCTTCTCATTTCTTTCCCGTTAGTCCACATAATTTTTGAATCGTGGAGCCCAAAACATTGTGCAAATATCAAAAGCCATAACACTCTCAAGCCACACAACTTTTGCTGCTTTCCTGCAACCCAGAGGACCCTGTGTGAAAGGAAGGTAGGTTAGTTTGGTATGCTATGTATTTGACAAAGCTATGGCACTGTTACTCATTTCCTTGTTCTTCCTACACTTTTAAAATAATTTATTTAATGACTTGGTTCAGTACTGTTCTACAAAATGAAGTTAAAACTCACTGATCTATAATTTCTTGTCCCCTCCTCATTTCCACTGTAAAAAGAGAAATTTTTTTTGGCTTTTCCTTGTCTTCCAGGAACTCCTCCAATTCCCATAGACTTTCAAAGGCACTTGCTAAGAGTTCTGCAGCACAGGCCTGGCTGAAGCAAAGAATCCTGAGGTGAGTTTTGCTCTATCAAACCAACCTGGAAAACATCTAAATCCCAACTTGTTCTTCCCCTGTTTCAGGCTGAGCTCTTACCTTTGTCACTGACACTATCTGTGTGCCTCTTTCACAGATACACTCTTGAAAAGAGTCACATATTCAGTCATATATGCTTTACCAAACATCTGTTTTTATAATCTGAAAACAATCCAGTTGTGTCCTGACTGAACATAATGGATGAAGCAGCAGCAAGTGGCTGTAAGCATTTCTGATTTAACAGAATTTTCTGAATATCCATCAGAACATTCTATTATCACTATGGGGTCATAAGTGACAAATATCTCTATGATGTTTTGATAAATGAATGCCAAGAAATAAAGCTATCCAAAGTATCTGCAGACTTCACCACATACATTTTGCTCATGGTAAGCAAAAGAGCATTGTCTGTTTGTGATTTCTGACTACACTATGTCCCTTGATTTTCCCTTTTACATCCCAGATTTTAGATGTAAGATTTTACTGTCAAACTGGGCAGGTACATCTAGCCATCTCTTCAGAAACAAACCTGAAATTTTAGCAGCATTGGATTAGGCAACAGAACAGAATAAAAACAGAAAGAAAAATACAGCTTCCCACAAATCAGGTGGTCTTACTGTACAAGCACTAAAATCTCAGCTGAGAAGATTGTGTTCTCTGCCCTGTGGGAAGCAATAATTTCATCTGTGCAAGAGTATTATTCTACTATTAGTATCACACTGGTAGCAGTACTTGTCACACTAAAAACCCAAAACCATTTAAGCAGAAAAACCAGCAACTAAACCAATTTTTTTGACAACACAGCAAGGCATGAATGTTACTGTTGTTTGGTTTACAAGCTTATCTCCTGACTTACCCAGTGTGAGGGATTTGTGTGTGGAACAGAAAACGATAGCCACTGTGTCTGCTGGTGTGAAAGTAGAGTTATTCCTACAAAACAAAAGAGTTTTAATAACCTCTGATAGCAAAAACCTTCTTAAAACAGCATCTATCAAAATTATTACTTTGAGGATCCATATACACGTTCCCATCACTTTGATCAGTCTGGTGACAGAAATAATTCCACCCATAAATGAACAGTAGTGCTTGATTTATTTTTTTTTTAGCAGAATTGTTTCTCTGTTGTGGCAAGCTCTCTAATGAATACACTCCCATGTTAAGGATAGAAATTTTGAAGGCATGGTGTGTAGGACACAACTTTATTCTAGCCAAGTTTATTTTGTCAAACATGCAAAAATATCACAGCAGGAGCCACTTGCCTCCACAAAATAAGAGAAAATGACCTATTATTTCTTTTTCTAGTATGGAACAGTAACAAAATGCTCAGTTTGGACAATATATTGAGTCCACACTATAAGGACTTAGCTTCCACTTCAGAGATAAACTACATCTAAGGGTTTAAACACTGGGACTAAGGCCAGGAGGGGTGCAAAAAAGGTATCTAGATATAGAGAGAGATGACTGGTCAATGGATCACTCTTTGCTCCAAATTAGGAGTAATTCTATGAGATTCTAAATATTTACCATACTGAGCTGGTTACTGCTTAAGGTACTTTAGATTCCACAGCTGGGGCACATCTTCCCCCCAGGTTAGGTCTAGCAGTTCAGAAGTTATTTAAAAATGCCTTTTAAGGCTAGGATATGATCTTGTCACAGAGAAATTTTCTTGTGGCACCAAAAAAAAGCCAAAGTAGTTCTAAGACACTGTACCCTTCTTTGTGATTCTCCCTTATGGATATTGTTTAATTTATATAAAGCATATGCTTGGAGCCTGCTGCACTGTGGCACTCCCCTTTCAGCAGAGTGCTGCTAAACAAATATTCCAGTAAGCCCAAGTGAGAGGACAAATGTGGCTACTCCAACCAGCACCAGTGATGCCCTGAGCCACTGGCTAACACCATTCTTACAGTACTAGTTTTTGAGAAGTGAGTATACAACTGCCCTTCCTGGTTGAAACTTTAAAAAAGGAAAGAAAAAAAAAATCTACCAAACATTAGTTCAGGATAGCTGTCTTTTAAGAATCACCATATAAATGTAGCAAATTTGACATATATAGAGAGGAGTGAATTGCCAGCACAGCAAATGTATCTTGAGATGTAAAAAGTCAAACTGAGTTCTCTCTCTCATATGTCATCAGCATGTCTGCAGGGCAAATTATACCTTCAGTGACATCTGTGCTAATCCATTTTTTTCAGTGGATAAGGTATAGCAGTGATTGATTGAGATTTAACAACTCTGTAATTAACACACAAGAAAGGACAGAATTCAGGTCCTGCTCTCTTAGCCTATGAAACTCTAACAGAGCAAATGCAGTAAGGACAATAGGAAATACCAAAATGAGGTCACCCCTATTCAGAAACCTGCCTTTGCACATTTGCATAAACTTTGTCACCCAAACCAAAGATATTGCACAAAAGAAATATTCAAAGGTTGGGATTCAGCACATTCATTTACCTTGTGGAGAAGAGGAAAGTCAAAAACATGAAGCTCATCTGAACAGAAAATACTGAAAGAGAAACAAGCTAAAATTAGACCACAATTATAAATACTGTGTCCCTGCCTTTTGTTCCCATACTGCAGGGCAGAAATGAGACTGGACCAAGTCTATCCAGAGAAACCCACTGCCAGGCAACCTTGAAAGACTGCCTGGAAGAACAACACAGATCATTATATCCAGGGAAGCCAGAATTAATATTATGGCTGCACAAGTTCTTCCTGGGGTAGATCCTCTGAATCAAGAATTTCTTGACACGATGAGTGGCAGGAAATAGTGCATATGCTGCACATCTCTTTGCACAAGTTTTGCTTATTGGGTTGACAACATAAAATCTGTCAGACATGCTCTGGTTGCTGGGCATTTAGACTTACTATTTTACAGGAGAAAGTGTGTAAGGATGATCCAAATAAATATTCCCAGCCCTGGGTATATTAATCATGATCATTCATGGGGAGAGGAAGAGAAGATCATCATAGAGGTTTGAATTCTCTCTGAGACAAAGGCTAATTCCTGGCTGGGCAGTGTGTGTCAGACATTTCCTTCAAGCTCAGCCAGCTCTGCAAGTGCAGGTGGTTGTGAGCATCCCAAGGGGAGCCCTTCTCTCTGCCAGTTCTGCTGACTCCCTCAGGGGCTCTGGGGGCACAGAGCCCACCCTGGGACTGCAGTGATACAAGGAACAGCCAGTGGCTTCCATGAGTAGCATCAGCCCAGAGCATGGAGAATCCCCACAAGGCTGAAGGACCTGTGACCTGCCCAGGTTTTTTCTGAGTTTGTGGGTTTTGGGGGAAAGGCTTTTACTTGCAGCACAATCGGGGGTGGGTCCTCTCCCTACTCCTTGCAAAATTTGTGAATGCAGTAAGGCTGACATGCCCCATAGGACAGTGCAAGTCAAGACAATGTATTTGATTTTCACCCCAGTTTATAACTGGGAAACATGGCAGGGATATTAGCTATTACCAGTGACATTTTCTATTCTCCTACATACATTTCCTAGAATGCATAAATGTCACCTCAGCATGCACTTAATTCCTCCTTCATGAACTAAAGGAGCAATCCATTGTTCCTGAATTATAATTTTTCTCCAATGAAATACATAAATTTAATATGCACAGAAAAAACCAATTCCTTATTACACATAATTCTGTAAAGCAATAAGCATGTGTTGCTACCAATTATTCCTCGTGAATATTTTGCTGTGGCTAGAATATTAGCATAAAAATTACATAAAAACATTAATCAGCAGAATAACAAACTCAGTTTCTCCTCAAACTCCTCATGCTAATTTCACTTCCTGGTGTAACACAATACACACATCCAGCTGACACATCCAATGGCGATACAGAAACTTCTGGAATACAATGTGCATACCTATCTCCAAAACTTCCTTGGTTCTTGGTTTTGTAAATATTCCAGAAAAAATCCCTAACCAATTGTTTACTATGTTCCAAGTAGGTCCAATGCCTATGTCAATGTTCTTACTAAGAAATTCCAGTTATGCACACTGGCAATGAACACGTAGATATGACTTTCAGTGTATTCCACAGCAAATGGTACATTTCATTCCACATGGCACAAGTACAGAGTTGTCTTGAAGAGAAATAAAGGCCAAGCAAGGCAGCAGAAGAAAACACTACAGATCAACTGTTCTAGGAAGAACATGTCTTCTTGAAATAAAAAAGAAACTTTTTTTTTTTCAAAGTAGTGGTCAGCAGAGTACCATAAAATTACTTCATTCTGCGTTTCTCTGCACATTGAGTTGAAAATCTCTGTACCATTCTTTTTTGCTGACAATTTTGCACTGATTTAAGTGCAAGGTCCTTCTTGGGTGCCAGTGCAAAGAAGCATTTATTCCATTTTGAAAAAAACTCCATAGCATTGCTTCCTACATCTTTGCTTTCAGAATAAAACATTTATATTGTACCATTTATAATTCCATGTACTATTTTACACAGGTATAGCGTTTAGTTTAGTTTCATAATCCATATACATAGTTTCATAATCCCAAAAAAAGCCACAATTAGGACAGAATTAGGATCTGATGCACAAAGGGGAAGAGGCAAATTTCCTACTGGTTTTAGTAGAGGTCAGATTTGTAGAAGATACATTATTTTTATCAGACAGAAGCATATGCAGACACACAACTCAAAGTAGGTGATGGTCTGATCTCTTGAAATCTAACAGTTTTAGAGTATGAGATGTGATTTATACTGAAGCACACTGTAGTTACCTCTCCTCCATGCAAATTGGAACTCCTGTCTGTGGACAGTCTGAGGCAAATGGGAATTCCCTGCTGGGAGAGGAGACAGTGCCTGTACAGCACTGCCTTTCCCTGGGAGGGAGGGATCTGCAGTCGTGTTTCCAGCTGATGGCAAGGATACCAGCAGCCTATTCTCACGTGGATGTTATTTAAGGCTGAATGACTTGAGTGCTTCTAAAAGAAACTCAAAGAAATGTGCTCATCCACAGAAACAGATCAACACATTCTAACTCCCAACTAGTTTCTAGGTTTATAATATGCTAAGGAAGAGCAGTTTAAAAATTATAACAGTGCTTCTGAGTAACAGCTCAGTCCCAAATCTTTTGTTGCTGTTTGGAATGAGACATCTGTGTATTTTATGGCTGTTCAATAGCAAAGAAGCCAAAACTAGAATGCCAATAAATGCTTGTAAAGTACTACTATGCCCTTTCAGAAAGGAAGGGCCACAGAGCAACCTCAGGCCCACCTAAATAGCAGGGCTCATTCCTCTCTAAATGCTTACTTGGCCCCCTAAATGCATCCAGTTCCTAAGAAGTTTGGCAATCTGGTTTCCTAGATGCTTTAGAAGCTCTAACACCATGCCAGTACCCCCACAGCTCCCCCACTACATGTAGCTCATTACAGACCTGAAACACACACACAAAAAAAAAAGAGTCATTAGGGCTGAACTTACTTATGAACACGATTATAATCAAGCTAAATTTATCCAGGTCAATATTTGGATTGGCAAAAGTATCACAGAACGTTGTGTAGATGATCATCAGGAGCACACAGCTGCTGATAGCACCAAATGGAGGCTTCTTCCTTTCAAGCCAGTCCTTGATGTATCTTCGGACAATCTGAAACACAGAAACCAACAGGTTGTCTCTTTTCAGAGATGCAGGGAGCCAAGTTGGGCATCACAAAGTGAATCTGACAGCGGAAAGACACAAAGAGAAGAGAGTAATTTGGATGACGGCCACAGTGGATTTCAAAGCTTCCCTGCCACACAACTCTTCTTCTGGGGAATTTAACATTTGTAGTGCAACTTCCACTGGGCGTCCATAATGAGAGTATATTTTCAAGTGCATTCAAATCCATCCTTAATCATGCCAAATGTTCTTTGCTAGCTGTCACTGAGACGTGCCCATTAAGCCTCCCCAAAGTTTATCTCCTCTGCTGATACTAATGGATGTATGTAATTATCACAGTCCCCTTTGCATCAACAGACAATTCCAAGTGCAACTTTGGGAATCTTAAAAATCTGACATCTTCAGGAATTTCATGACGGTAGATAATCGAAAGTGATCCATGGAACATTTTAATATTTAAATAGCTAGCGATGCACCAGAAGTTTTTAATTAAATTATAACTCAAGCTTGAAAAGCAAAAGTGCATGTGTTGTGGGAGTTTAAATAATTCAAACTCTGAATATCTGGAGTTTTTGTAAATCCAAAGACAAATGCCATTTGCACGCTTTTAGAATACCAGAATTAACACATGAAAACAAGGAAACCTACTGTACTTAGCGGAACTTTTGCACTTTCAGGAAACAGAATATGAAGCAGTTTTTCAAGAATTTTTTAGAAACAACTATAAATTTTAAAGCAACCTCAACGTTCAGATTATGCTGAATACCATAGCACTAAGCCTCACCAGATACAATGCATCTATTTTAGTCCTGCCTGGGGAGTCACTTTTAGTTTTTCTGTTTACTTTATATGGTTTGAAAAAACTTTTTAAAGCTTTTATCGTACAGCTGCGACTTGTGTGTTAATTTTTCAGCAATCACATTATCTTGCCTAATTTCTCCTGAGGCCTCCTGATGTTCTCTGTTATCACACTCTTTTGGAAATCACAGCCCAGGATCCTGAAGCACTTCAGCCAGAGGGCTCCAAAGGTGTCTCGTGACCTTCCCCTAGTGGTGCAAACATCACCACCATTGGTTTAATGACACAGAAAATCTTAGAGGTATTCAAGATTAATATCAGGCCATCATCACCTATGCTACCATAGGACCCCTTCACACAACAAATGCCAAAGCCATGGAATCAAGCTGCTCTCAGTTTTCCTCACAGCTCTCAGTTTTCCTCATTGCTTTCCTGGCATGTCTGCAAGCCTCTCAGCAGGGAAGTCCTGGAGCAGCTATCCCAGCCACCACAGCAATGAGACTCCATCAGGGCACACACTAAAACTTTGGCACTTGGGCTTCATGCCAAGCTAAGCAGGTTGAAGATCAGCACTCAGCTCCCAGAACTTGTGGGCTTCCTGCTGATGAAAAATAACAGATTTGCAGGAAAATATCTAAGGGAATGTTCAACGCCCCGGTGAAAACACTGAATTTTAAAATGTCACACTTGCCAGATGTTAAAGAGAGAAAATAACAAAAAATATAAGGCCAGACTTCTGAAAGAGCCTCCACTGGAGCTCCTTCAGCCACTGGGTAGGAATAAGACACTGCACTGATGAAAGAGACAAAAGAAAGTGAAGCCATGCAGAGAGCAATATGAAAGACATATAATGGGAAGTTTAGATGAGTCTAATTCTGAGCAAATTTGGGACTGTAATTATCAGAAGCAAAAAGTAAAGCCTTTCACTTCTAAAGTGAGCAAGTTTTTTTTAATGAAGTTTAAAAAAAATCCTATTATCCCTTAAATTGTCACACTGGGGAAAAAGAAAAACTACTTAAGGCCACCTATTAATTTATGGTCCTTCCAGAAGATTTATACAGAAAGTAACAAGATATTGAAAAAGAAAAGTGATGGCTCATTATACCATGGTACAATTTCTAATAGAAGTATTTAATCCAAAAACTGCAACCCTGTGCCTGTTCAGGGTCTGATTATAACAGACATTACAATAATAACATTATACACATATTTATCCTTGACTGACATAGAAGAGAAATAAAAAACATTTAAAAAATGAAACTGCAAGTATTTCCTCAGAATCTTCAACTGAGTGATACTTTCTTTAAATATCCACCTGCATCTAGCCTGGAATTTTTGTGAATCAATAACCATAAATACCAATACAGTTCCTTACTGCACATTATATATATATATATTTTTTTTTTTTAATTACATAGTCAGACTCTGAAGAACTAAATTGTAGCTTCAGGAAATCATCTAATCAACCCAGTGTCATGCAAAATGTGCACAAAACACAGACAAAATGTATCTTCTCTAATACAGAATCCCATACATTTTGATCATCTCATAAGGTTCAACGTGATCTGTAATTTCAGAGGTCAATTCAGCCTATAATCACTGATTCAAGGTAATCTAAATTCTTGTATAACTTGATGGGAGAAATATAACACAACAGAAGCTCATGTCAGCTGATTCACTTTGACTGAAAAAAATCCATTTGTTATTCATGCCTGGCAGAGTTGCTTCAGGACAAGGATGCTTTGAAAGCCTTTTAATTCTTAACCCAATTCTATAACTTTTCAGGGTAAACAGGGAACTACAAAAGACCAAAATTGTGAATATTTGTAGTGAAATAATGACAAGTGCCACAAATACAAGAAAGAAAACACACATTCAGAGCCTGGGCTGAGATACTAAGACTTCATTTGTCTGAAAGGCAGCGAAAGCTAACACAGTCATTTTTGAATGTTAATATAAACCACTGGTACCCAAAATAGCTGCATCCCACTGATGGAAAAGAGCAAAAAGGGGATGTACTGGGTTTTGTGGCAAGGTTTGGTAGCAGGACAGGCAATAGGGGATGGCTTCTGGGAGAAGCTGCCAGAAGCTTCCCTTATGACTGGTGGAGGCAGTGCCAGCCAGCTCCCAGATGGATCCAGCCCTGGCCAAGGCTGAGCTCAGCAGGGATGCTGGTAGTGATGCTCTGGAAAGACTTTCATGCAGATTCAAATGCCAGCCCCAAAGAGCAGGGAAAGGCTGACCCAGAGGTTGCACATGAAAGAACATGAAGGTGAATCCCTCCCTCAAACCGCAGTTTAGCAGAGAAAACAGCGGGAGAGAAGCAAAACTTTGTAGTAGGTGATATTTTATAAATAATCTGCCTGAAAAACTCACAGAAAAGTTAGACAATAAAAGAACATAAATGTGTCCAGTAGGCAGCCACCTCCTGAAGACTACTTTCTGGCAACCTCCAAAGGTTTTGGAAAGGCATCAGCTCAAATTTGCTTCAAAACACAGATTCAAGCTCAAACTTTCCTCTTGCCCGGGATTTAATTTTTAACAACAAAGAAATGTAATTACACTTGAGTTAACAGTAGTGTCCCCATTTCAATTTAGTTCTCCTACCAGAATAGTTCTATCCACAGTATTTTTCCTACAGACTGCTCTGTATCCTGCCATAACCTTCTTGTCTAAACACCAACCTTCCTAAGCAAATGGGCTCACTGCTCTAATGCTTATTTCATTTAACATCCTTGGGCAAAGAAACATGATCTGCTGTTCCAGGAAAGCAGGTAAACAGTGCTCATCTGTTATTAGAGCACACATGAAAATAGCAGAAGGTGTGTTACAGAAAAACAGTTCCCTTCCCTAATTGTACCTTCAGAACAGTCACAGAGTATGCCCAGAGAAATCTGTCACTAAAATACAGCTGGACTCTTTCTACCTGTCTGCCCAAGTGCAAGGTAAAAAATGCAATAAACAATGGAATATATTAATATTCATTATTAATTGAGCTAAATAGGGCAAGGAGCTCCCCCCCCACCTTGTATGGAGTGGAATAATTTATGACATTAGTCATGCAGTACCTCTCCTAAAAATCATCTAGAGCTGTAACTTATTTGTTTATTAAACCCAAGAATTGAAAAAAAACCCAAAACAACAACAAACCTCAAACAACCCAAACCCAAAAAACCCCAAGGAAATGGATAGGAAGTCACCTTTTCTGTTTCCATTATAAACAGGAGTCTCTCTTGGTACTTGCATCATTATGTAAAATAGATTTTTCCTAATTCTACCAAATATTTTGGACTGACCTCCTGTTTAACAGAATTTACAGTGGTTTCATTGCACTTCTCCTTTATATTGTGTATTGGTATATTCTTCTAAATACCTGGGTGAAACACCTGGGGCTTTACCATCTCAACAAAGAAACACAAGTCACCTTTTCCTTGTGTTCAAACACATGAGAAAACAAGCTGAAATTGCTGGATTATCCCCACACCTAAATGCAGCAGTTACCTTACTTAATTTGTCTTCTAAGGTAAGATTCCTCGCTCATTCTTAATTAATATTACTACTACTTATAGCTACAGACTTATGCAATGAAGTCTAAAATACAAAATTTCCCATTGAAAATCTTTGAGTCAGGGTAGATATTTTTGACAGTCCTGTAATTTTTTCATATCTCTTCTTATATAGTGATGGTGAACCAAGAAAAACAATTGCAGGGAATATTGGGAACTAGGTCAGTGAAGTCTGTAAGACATGAAAGGTGAGAAAATTGGAAAAAAAAAGGAAAATCAACTAAGATGACAGCAGCTGTAAAAACCAGTATAAAGAATCAAATCCTGGAATGGAAGAGAGATTAATTGGGTTGTATAAAAATATAAATGAAATAAGATGCTAAGATGGACATCATTCAGATTTCTACAGAAAAACCAGTCTCCAAATATACAAGGTATGCATGCCAGTTCAAATGCACAGACCCTTTTATAAAGCAAAACTTGCACAACCTCAGCCAGACCCAGTCCTGATATTTTTAGAGGGGTTTTATCTCTGTGGAGGCATAAATTCCCACTTTTTCCTGAACATTGCTGTAAAATTTCAGATTTTGTGATGGTTCACCTGCTTTCCTAGGACATCATCAAATGTCAAATCCATCCTAATGCTACAGAGTGTACAATCTAATGTTTGTTTTCTGAAGACAG